CATCCAGAGAGACCTTCCACCAGGATAGTGATAGTTAAATATTCCTCCAGAAACCGTCGAACGATAAGTCGAAGAAACCAAATCATTAAAATACTCACCATTCAGAAGATATTTCCCATTGTGCACCAAAGAGTAGAGTTCGTGAGCACGCCGAGCTAGCCAATGTAGGGCACGATAAGGGCTCTTAGTAGGAGACCTGCGGGTACATAGGAGTTCCCCAAGAGGTATTTCCACCACCTGATACTCATAACCACCTCTCAAGCCCTCAGGGTAGCACTGCAGAGTGCCCTCAAGTTCGCCCCAAGCTCGGTCGCACCAGGACCCATAGACATCATCCAGACCATACTGAAGATCAGCCCTCTCGGGGCCGTTCGGCAGCCTATAGCCGCCTTCCACTTCCAAAGGTTCCAGCAGGGCATCCAGACGGGCTCCGAGATCCTCGTAGACAGGGGCCTCAGGCGCAGGACCGATTGGAAGGTCGACAGGCAAGCGTGCAAATTGGCGAAGCCGTTTCACAGTGATCTTGTCAAGGCCTTCCTTCAAAGTTAGGAAAACTGGGCGGTGCGGGAAAATGTGCTCGTCCATCTCGGTGCGAGCCGAATCTATGCACGATAGCAGAGACTTGCCCACTAGAAAGTAATCGATACATGTCCCAGGAGCTGATGCAACGCAGGTGATCATCGGCGTCGGCACCACCAGCTGGCCCTTGAGCTTGTGGGGCGCAAATCCCTCCTGGAACACGTTGGGCTCGAAATTGAAATCTCCGCCTGCAACACATGGCAAATTATTTCGCAGAATGTCCTCTCCCAGGACGCTGGCAATGTGTAAATTGACTGGGCCAAGCCCTTCTCCGTCCTTCCAATATCCACAATAGATCGAAATCACTCCAAGCGTCCGCGAGCGAAAGAAAACCTGTAGTAGACGGTGCTCAACCAGCGGGGCCTCGCGCCCTGGCTGTTGCCAGAGATCAAGATGAGCTCGCGCCAGTATGCAAACTCCAGCGGATCGCCCCGAACGCTGCGTGGTGCAGCACGGAGCCCAAAAACTCTTCCACCCAAGCTTGCGAACACTCTCCCTGGCCTCGTAGAGACCCTGACCATGTAGTTTATGTTCTTGAACAAGTACTATGTGAGCCCCACACTCTTTGATGAAAGAGGCTGCAGTTGACCAACAGTTGCCGTTGATCGTGAGGATCTGCAGCCCCCCCTCAGCTGCCTGGCGCTGGGGGTTACCCCCGCGACGGGGCTCTGCCTGAGCCCGCCGCAGCCTCCCCCGACGCCGTGAGACGCCTCCTCGCCGCTGCCTCGCTCTCGGGCTCCGACTCGGCTGCCCTGCGCTCAGCCAGGGGCGCGGGGGGCATCGCCTCATCAGCGACGGCGGCAGCAGCAGCAGCTTCAGGCTGTCGGGCTTCAGCTTGTTCGGATTCAGCTTCTGCACGCTCTTCTCTGGGAGCCTCGAACATGCCCCCAGCTGAGCGCACCTGAGCTGCGAAGATGCCCATCTGCGCGGTCAGCCCCTCAAGCAGGTCGGGCTGGAGCTGCTGGCTCATGTAGTGCATCCCCTGCAAGAAAGCCTGCGCGTCCAGCTTGCCCTTGCCCTTCCCCTTGTTCACGAAACTGAATGCCTCGCCGAGCTGCTCCTGGTGCTCATAGGGGTGCTCCAGGCCTGGCGGGAGGCTGTACGGGTCCGAGAGGGGCTCGCGCATCAGGTTGTACACTCGAAGTTCCAGTTCGGTCTTGTGGGTGCGGGCCACCTCTAGGTCCGCCCTGAGCAGCGCCTGTTTGACCTCTAGGTCGGCCAGTACCTGCTCCTGCTGGTCCACATATTCAGATTGCTTCTCCAATTGAGCCTGAGCCTTCATTAGTCTGCTCAGGGCTGCCTGAGTGAGCTGACTCTCAGACTTCTCAGAATCGCGTTCCTCCCGCAGCTTCTTCAAAACAACTTCCTGAGAGGCGATGGCCTCCTCGCAGCTGCGCTTGGACTCCAAGGACTCAGAATTTGTCTCGAGCGACTTCAGCATGTCCAGGGACTGTTGAAGACGAATGATCTGAGGACCCACTTTCTGCTTGGAGCTGGAATCCGTCGACTCTGACTTATCCTTACCTTTCTTCTTCGGTGGCACAGGCTGCTGGTCGTCACCTGAAGATTCCCAGTGTGAGCCACATTGCCAGCACCACGCATGCCGTAGATTAACACTTGCCGTGCAAACACCGCACGTCCATGAGAAAGCAGCGGCTGTCTGCTTGGGCGATGGGGCTGAGCGGCTGCCTGGGTCCGAGCCCTTGCCCTTCCCCTTGCTCTTGCCCTTGCCCTTCCCATCGCCACGACCTCCCATTCCTCAAAAACAGGAGTGTACGATACACGCCCACGGCCCAGCTGTGGCCCTGGTCAGTGGTGTGGGCGTGATGCTGCAAACAGGCGCTGTGCCGCTCGGGCCCTGACCCCCTCCGAGGGGAGGAGAGATGGCCTTGAGCCAAAGGGGCTACGGAACCTCCTCCTCCTCCTCCCCGTTCCCTCCGCCTCTCCTCCCTCCCTCCTGCCCCCGTCTCTGCCGTCCTTTGCGCTCCTCTGACCGCCTTTCCCTTTCTCTCCCCTCCCCGTCCCTCGCACCATTCCTCCCCCCTCCTCTCCCCCTCCTCCGCTCCGTCCCCTCCTTCTGTCCGCCGCCCGGCCCAGAGACGGCCCCAGGACGCCGAGCAAGAAACCCTCTGGCACGGTTCTCCCGAGCCGCCGGAAACTTGGCCAGAGGCTTTCATCGGGGATATCCTGGAGGAGGCTCCGCCAGTCATGGTTCGAAGCACGTGGCGCACGAGGGGCGGACCAGGGGACGTCTTCAAAGAATAATAAAACGAATAATGATAATACGAAAAACAATACTCATAATAAGTATATGAATAACATCACAAGAATAATATTAATGTCTACTACTAACCATAACTATGACTAACAACACGAATAGTATTATTCATGCGAATGATAATGAGCATATGGTTAATAATAACAGCTATAGTACTAATACAAGTAATAAAAAGGCGATGATACTAACGCTGAACATTATAATGCGAATGACAATAAGAAGACGAATGAAACGAAACAGAAGATGAAGCGCCACGAAATCTGTGGAGACATCATGGCCCCGTGATACTCCCCCCTAATCATCCTCCTCTTGATCGCCCCCGACTTCAGAAACCTAACAAAAGCTAAGCCGGCCCAAACCCAATGCAACAATTGACGATCTCAAGCCTGTGATGGGGATAGCTCGTTTGATCATGATAGAAAAAGAAAAACGGTACAAACATAAATTTTCGACGGGTCGCGGACTTCTTGGATCTGCGCTGAAGCCCCGTCCCCCTTTTTCTTCTTCAAGATGGTTCGTTTGGTCAGGCGCTCTGGGGGGTGAACTTTTGGCCAACCCGTCGCCTCTTCCGGCTGGACTGCGTTTTCAAATCTGGCTGTGGCCCGCCCTCCTGCCAGCACGCGCGCGCAGGAGGAAGAGGGGGGGAGGGGAAAGGAAGGAATAGGAGGAGGAGGAGGAAAAGAGAAGGAGGAAGAGGAGGAGGGGGAGGAGGAGGAGGAGGAGGAGGAGGAGGAGGAGGAGGAGGAGGAGGAGGAGGAGGCGCGGGAGGAGGAGGAGGACGAGGAGGGAGGAGGAGGACGAGGAGGACGAGGAGGAGAGAGGAGGAGGAGGAGGAGGAGGAGGAGAAGGAGGAGGAGAAGGAGGAGGAGGAGGAGGAGGGGGGATGATGATGATGATGATGAGGAGGAGGAGGAGGAGGAGGACGAGGAGGAGGAGGAGGAGGAGGAGGAGTGGTAGGACCGCCTTCTCAGGAAGGCTGCCGCCTGCCTGATTGCCTGACTGCGCCGCCCCACATCGATGGAGGCCCCCCCCAATGGGGTCCGAGCAGATGGAATCGGAGGAGTGCGCCGCATGAACGATACATCGGCGATGCATCGGCGACGTCGGCGATGCATATGCGACGTCGGCGTGGAGGAAATCGGGCTCCGCATCGAGCCGCATCGCCGATGCATCGGCGATGTGGAGCGATCCTCCGACCCCATCTAATCTGACCACTTCTGGGAGGCCCAGATTCGAGGAGCCGGCGCCAGACACGAGATTCGAGCATGGAGGTTCTTCGGCGTTAGAAACATCCGACACAGGGATCTAAAGATTTTCGAAGGGTCGTCGGTTCGAGCCTCGATCTTCGAATCCCGATTCGAGGAGCTGGCGCCAGACATGAGAGGAGCTCCAGCCTTGCCGCCGTCGCCGCCGCCATCATCGCCTCGCCCGCCCACGGCGTGGCCTTCGAGGGGCGCGCTGGCGACGCGTGCCAAGGCCTACCCGCGGCCCCGTGAGAACGCGAACGCCGCGTCTCTTCCACCCTGTGAGAACGAACGCGAGGGGCCTTCGGCGTTCGAAGAACCTCACTCCCTCGAACCTCGAATCCTGGAACCCCGACTCGAGGATTCGAAACGCTTCAGCCTCGCGAGAGAAGCCGCCGTCGTCGTCGTCGTCGCCGTCGCCGTCGTTGTGGCCGCCGTGGCCCCGCGAGGCTGCCGCTTCGAGGAGCCGGAGCCGGACACGAGAGAAGCTCCACTAGGGCTCCCAACTTCGCGCTTCGCGCTCCGCGAAGCGCGAACAACTTCGCGCTCTCGCGCCGCCTCCCCCAGAGGGAGAGAAGGAGGACGAGGAGGAGGGGGAGAAGAAACGAGAACCGCGAAGCGAGAATAACTTCGCGCCCTCGTGGGAGCCCTTGCTCCAGCCTCGCCGCCGCCATCGAGGAGGAGGAGGAGGACGAGGAGGAGGAGGAGGAAGAGGAAGAGGAGGAGGAAGAGGAAGAGGAGGAGGAGGAGGAGGAGGACGAGGAGGAGGAGGAGGAACAGGAGGAGGGGAGGAGGAGGACGAGGACGAGGAGGACGAGGACGAGGACGAGGAGGAGGAGGAGGAGGAGGAGGAGGAGGAGGAGGAGGACGACCAACGGCGCCCGCCCCGCCCGCGCGGCCTTGAGCGACGCGCCGGCGCCCTCGGAGGACAGCCACTGCCGCACGTCCTGCCGCCGGATGCCGGGAGGGCGACGAGGACGGCGACGACGAGGGCGACGACGACGAGGGCGGCGACGAGGAGGGGCGCCCGCGCCTCGTGGACGCCGGCCTTCCAGTCCCTGTAGTTGTCGTTGTCCACCAGCTGGCAGCCGTACTTCATGGCGACCTCCCTCCTCCTCCTCCTCCTCCTCCTCCGCCCCGAGCTCGGCGGCGCGATCGGTGGCAGGTCATGGGAGCCTCCCATACCATCTTGTCGCTTCTTGCGGATCGGCGCTCCACAGACGCCAACCGGCGCCGAGTCGGTGCTGTTCGACGCCAGCCGACGCTGCATCGGCGCTATCCCATTGACTTGCAGACGTCAATCGACGCCGAAGACGGAGCCAACGGGGTATACTCGGGAGCGACCAAGAGGGGGGTGTCCAAGAGGGGGTGGTGCAAATCGTGACCAGCGGCATGTGCGCGGCCCAGCGGGGGGGCCAGGGACGTAATGAAACAAGAAGAGGCGCCATGAAATCTGGGAAAATACCATGGCACATGCCATGGTATCCACCCCCTCCTAGTCATCACCCCCCTCTTTGCCGCCCCCGATATATCAGGCTCCCGTGATTTGCTGCCGAAGGCGTGGCGAGGGGGACGCGGAGAAGGCGGCGGCCCTCTCAGAAGGCAGGGGGCTTCCCAGTGCGGCGCGCGGTCTCATCTTCCTCCTCCCTCCTCCTCCTCCTCCTCCTCCTCCTCCTCCTCCTCCTCCTCCTCCTCCTCTCCTCCTCCTCCTCCTCCCCTCCCCCCCCTCCTCCCTCCTCCTCCTCCCTCCTCCTCCCTCCTCCCGCCTCCTCCTCCTCTTCTCCTCCTCTTCTCCTCCCTCATCTTCGCGTCCTCACGCCCGCGCCGCCCCCTCCTCCTCCTCTCCCCCTCCTCCCCTTTGCGCCCTCACGCCCTCGCGCCGCCCCTGCGGAGAAGGGCAGCCGCCCTGCGCGCCCCCGCCCGGAGAGGGAGCGAAGGGGCCCCTCCTGGCCCCGGCGAGCCTCGGCCATCGGCGGGCTCCCCGCGTCGGCCCGAGGAGCGGCGGGGAGGTGGAGGCCCCGTTCTCTTCTCGCTCTCTGCTTCTGCTCCTCGCGCCGCCTCCGCCCGTCTTCTCCGTGCAGCGACCTCTCCCTTGAAGGGGCCCCAGGACACACAAATCAATACACACACATGAAGATATTCCCCATGTTTTCCCATATTTTCTGGGTTTCTGTCTTCCCCCCCCACTTCCCATATTTTCCCATATTTTCTGGGGGATCGACGATTAATTGTGTCTGTGTGTGTGTGTGTGTTTTTTTCCCCTCCTGATCCCTGTCGCACCACCACGTGCACGCACACTCGTCTGGAGGGCCTGCAGGAGCTGCAGTGCACAGATCGGTGGCGGGCTTTTCTCTGCCTGCGACGCGGCGGCGGGTCGGTCTCTGGGTCTTTGCGGCGGGCAGGTCTCCGCGACAAGGAGCCCGGCCGCTCCCACGAATCTCGGAGCGGCCGCCTCCTGTAAAAAACTTGAGCAGAAGAAGACACACGACAAGCCCTGCCTGTACAGCGTAATGACGGCGAGGAGGGGGGCGGGCAAGACTGCGCGAGCTCAGCGGTACATGGCATTGTTGATGCGGTCGATGAAGTAGGCCGGGTTGGCCGGGAAAGCCACCAAGTTATTCTCGTATTTCTGGATGATCGCCTTGAGGTTCTCGGGGAGCTCGGGGTCCTTCAACATGTCGGACACCGTCGCCCACGGGCCATGCGTACCGATCCAGCCGCAGGCGGTCGGGAACATGCCAGGGAACTGGCGGTAGGCCTGGATGTTGGCGTTGTTGATGTCCACTTTGTTGCTGCCGCCGAGGTACTCGATGTTGGTGTAGTCGACCTCCGCCAACGCCGGCGGGGCGCCCGCGACGAGCAGCGCCGCCGCCGCTCCCGGGGCCGTCTTGCGGCCGGAGCGCAGGAAGCCGGCCACCGCGCCAGCGATGCTCGCGGCCGCGGCGCCGAGCCTGCGGGCCCCGAGAATACACCACCACCACCACGTGGACTCCTCCTCCCTACTCTGCTGCCCTTCTCTTCCGGTCCTCGTTCCTGGAAGAGGGAGGGGGGTGAGGGAGGTGGTGGTGGTGGCGTGTGTCTTTCGGGGGCGGCCAAGGGGGGGGGGGGGGGGGGGGCGCAAATCATGGCCGGCGGCATGTGCGCGGCACAGGGAGGGGAGAGGGCGAGGACGTCATGAAATGTAAAGAGGGGCGCCATGACATCTGAGAAGACATCATGGCCCACGCCACGAGAGTCCCCCAGGGGGGGAGGGGGCGGGGACGTCATGACATAAGGAGAGGCGCCATGACATCTCAGAAGACATCACGGCCCACGCCACAAGTCCCCCAGGGGGGGAGGGGGCGGGGACGTCATGAAAGATAACGAGAGGCGCCATGTCATCTGAGAAAACATCGTGGCCCACGCCAGGAGAGCCCCCCCCCCAGTCGTCGCCCCCCTCTTGGCCGCCCCCGACACTTTTGGGCCCTGCAGCACCACGCCCCAGCGGCGCTGCCGTGCGGGCCCGCCTCGTTTGGGCGCCCGCAATGGGTACGGAAAACATGGGCACAATGCCCAACAACAAGTGTTTGAAGGGGCCCCAGGACACACATATAAATACACACAAATAAAAGGATTCCCCATAGTTTCCCCATATTTTCTGGGTTTCTGTCTTCCCCCCCACTTCCCATATTTTCCCATGTTTTCTGGGGGATGGAGGATGAATTGTGTCTGTGTGTGTTTTTTCCCCTCCTGAACAGTGCCCAGCCACAAATGCTGTCCCAAGCCAGCAGCGGCCGCTGTCGGGCAGGGCGGCCTCCCGTCTCAAAAAGGGGCACGGGCCGCGGCGACACCAACACCCACCGCGAGCCCTGCTCCCAGAGTGAGCAGAGAACTGCTGCTGGGCATGGTGCCCAGCCTCTCCGTACCCACTTCGGGCGCCCAGACCTCGGGCCCCGCGGCCGGGGAGGGCGCCTGCCGCTGCGCGGCCGCGGGGGCGGCGGGGCGCTGCGGGGCGGCCTCGCCGGGCGCCGGGGCCACGTAGGCGGCGGCCGGGGCCGCGAGCAGGGCGACCGCCAGCGCCACGCGGGGCACGACCGCCATCGGGGTCCTCTGCATGGGGGGGGGGGGGCTAAAGATGTACACCACCACCACCACCACCTCCCTCCCCCCTCCCCCCCTCTCGCTGGAAGGAGGAGAGAGAGGATGAATCGACGTGGTGGTGGCGTATATATATATATATATATATATATATATATATATATATATAACTGCTTGGGGCCCCCAACTGCGGGGGCCTGCAAGGAGCTCCGGCCGAGGGGCGGGAGAGAGCGCGCTGCTGTGGCGGCGGGCAGGGCGAGGGGTGCAGCCAAGTGCGCGTTTGAGCCACAGTGGCTGCGGGATCGGTGGCGGGCCGTTTCCAAGAGTTGGCTCTCCCCAGAGACTTCCTCCACGTGCTCAACCAATAATTACTACCGCGAGTGGTAATTACATGTGCCACAGCTGCAAGAGTCGAAGGGAAGCTCCTTCCCTTTGATGCCCCCCCCCCCCCCGCCAAGGGAAGGGGACGTTGCGGGAGGGTCCTGGGCGGGTGGGTGGGGGCGTCAGATTCGACGGCCTCCCTGGGGCGATGCTGGGCAGCGGAATTGATCAACGTCGTGGAATCGAACAGAAGCCCCTTCCCTCTCGTCCCTCCCCCGCGGGAGGGGAGCGGGGGGGTCCCGGGAGGAGTCCCGAGGGGGGGGGTCAGATGCGACGGCCTCCCTGGGGCGATCCGCGCAGCGAAAGTGATCGACGTCGTGATTCAATCGCAGGAGAACCCCTTTCCTTGATCTCTCCCCCGCCGGAGAGGGGGGGATCCCCGGAGAGGTCCTGGGGGGGAGGGGGGGGGCAGATACGACGGCCTCCGTGGGGCGATCCCCAGCGATGGAATTGATCAGCGTCGTAGTTGGCTCGAAGAGAAGCCCCTTCGCTTTGATCGCTCCCTTGCCGGGGGAAGGCGGAAGGGGGGAGATCCGATCCCGGGAGCAGTCCCGACGGCGGCCCCAGTCCCGCGGAGCTTGCCGTGGACAGATGCAGCGGCCTTCCTCGGGCACGCCCCAGAGGTCGCCTCGGGCAGTGGAATTGAGCAACGTCGCCACTGAATCGAAGAGAGGTCCCTGCCCTATCTGGAGGGATGAAAAAACGACCCTACCCTGGGTTACAAGTGCGTGGTCTGTAAACCTCCTGGGAACCCCCAAAGCCTAGAGACGCCAGGACGCGGCACATCACGCAGGGTTTACCCTGTCAGCCCACCTGAGTTTCAGCGCACAGCGCCTCGTAAACCAGGGTAAGGGCGTTTTTTATGCCCTTGACTATCATCCCTCCGCCGGCGGAGAGGGGCGAGAAGTCAAGACAGGACAAGCCCAAGGCACATACATACAAGAGGCCGCAAGACAATCCCAAGGCAGTTCCAACTGTCCTCTGAGCCCTCCAACGACCAACCGAAAAACTCCAAATGGCTGCAATGCCTAAGCCAAATCCAAAACTTGTCCCTTCTCTCTTTTTGCTGTCGATTTGCTTTTGATGCTTCAAGATGGCCCATAGACGTCCCAATCGAGCCCACAGAGCGGCCCAATAGTGCTTCAAAACAGACCCAAGGACGCCCAAGACCAACGCAAGAGGGCCGCAAGACTGCATTTTTGAGCTTCCGAGAGGGGGAGCTGAATCCCGCCAGCCCTCTGGGCGTATGTGGTCTAGGGCGCTTCCTCTTCAAACCTCCTTCTTCCCCTTTGGGGAAGGATTTATCACTGTTCCTACCTTCTCCCCTGGACCTCGACGGGGAGGGGCCGCAACGCGTTAGAGCGTCCAAGATGGCCCAAGATGGCTGCAAGAGCGCCTTGGAGAGCCCAAGATGACCTCCAAGATGGCTCAATATATCCCAAGATGCGTCAAGATGGCTCCCAAGATACCCCAATACCGCTCCAAGACGGCTCCAAGTGGCCAGAGAGCTCCCCCAGGAGGCCCCGAAGAGGACAAAATCCTTCCAACAGCTGGGCAACAATCAATGCTTTTTGCTTTCTCGCCTTTTCGCTTCCGATGGCCATCCGAGCCCTCAAGATGGCGCCAAGATGGGCCAAGAGGGTCCACGAGAGGCCCAAGAGAGCCCCAAGACGACCCCAAGAGCGCCCAAGAGCGCCCCAAGACCGCCCCAGGAGGTGACTTTTGGAGCTCCCGAGGGGGTACGCGAACAAGTGGCACGCGTGCCCTGGCTCTTGCACACTTGAGGAAAGAAAGAGGAGGAGGGGCACGTGGGGGGCGAGAGGGCCAGGGGATGGGGCCCGCCCCCCCTCGCCCTCTCGCCCCAATCCAGACCTCTGGCCTCTGGTCCGAGCCCCAGCCCTCTGGCCCTGGCTGAACTCAGCTTGTTTCCTGGCCTTGGCCCCACTCGCCCCGACCCTGGCCTTCGCCCCAGCCCTCCTCGCCCCGGACCGTGTATTTTCGCGGTTCGGACCCGGACCTCTGGCCCCTCCCTTGTCCGAGTTTCAGTCCCTGCCCTGGCCTTGGACCTCCACTCGCCCCGACCCTGGCCTTGGCCCCAGCCCTCCCCGCCCCGGACCCTTTATTTCCGTGGTTCCGTCCCCCTGGCTCTGGCCCCCAGGGGCGACGGGGAACGGGCCAGAGCCAGGGGGACGACGACAAACCACGAACCACGAAAATAAAAGGGCGGGGGCGAGGGGGGCTGGGGCCAGGGCCAGGGGGCGCCAGAGCCAAGGAGGGAGGCTGGGTTCAGGGCCAGGGCAAGAGGACGGGGGCGAGGGGGCCAGGGGAAGCAGGCCAGAGCCAGGGGGACGACGACGAACCACGAAAATCAAGGGTCTGTGGCGAGGGGGGGGCGCCAGAGCCAAGGAGGGAGGCTAGGGCAGGAGGGCGGGGGCGAGGGGGCCAGGGGAAGCAGGCCAGAGCCAGGGGGACGACGACGAACCACGAAAATAAAGGGTCCGGGGCGAGGGGGGCTGGGGCCAGGGCCAGGGGGCGCCAGAGCCAATGAGGGAGGCTGGGTTCATGGCCAAGGCAAGAAGACTGGGGCTCGGACCATGAGCCAGAGGTCCGGGTTGGGGCGCGGAGGCCAGGGGATGGGGGGCAGGGGGGCGACGACGAGGATGGGAAACCAGAGCCAGGGGAACGACGACGAACCACGAAAATAAAGAGATCCGAGCTCTAGAACACAACTGTGCAAGAGAATTAATGCTCCCCTCTTGTTTGATCGATGTCCTTCAAGATTGCCCCAAGAATGCTCCCAAGGCTCCCAAGAGCGCCTCAAGAGGCGCCCCAAAAGGCCCCACGAGGCGCCTAAAAGGCCTCCACCAGGCCCCCGAAAGACCCCCAAGAGGCCCCAAGCGGCTCCCCGAGACGCTGCAAGAGGCCCCCGGGGCCGCCCAGATGCCCCCAAGACGCAAAAGAGGCCCAAGAGAGCCCCAGGACGGCCCCAAGAGCGCCCAAGAGTGCGCCAAGAGCGCTCCAAGAGGGACCCTTCATCTGCGTGCTGCCCACTCCCCTGATCGAGGCAAATCCTATGAGCATCGTCTCTGGATGGGCTGGCGGGGTTACTTTTTCTGTCGCGGCCGCAGGCGAGCGCGCCAGCAGCGTCAGAGGTCGGGCGGGCTACGCGCGAACCTAATTGCCTAGCGCACGGGGGCCGACGGCCGAACCTAAGCTGCCTAAGCTGCCTAAGCTGCCGGCTGCGCGAGGTGGTGCCAAGAAGCGGGGCAGGGCCCGACACCTTGCGACACGATGCAAACTGCCGCCAGGACCAGGATCCGGGGGCAGTGCCGATGCACAAATTGAACCAAAGAGCTACACGCAGCCAGAAAGGCGCGGCAAGGTCACAGACAGCGAAGCTGACAAGTGACCGCTGAGGGCGTGTAGGACTTGACATAGGGTAAACCACACGAGGGATCCATGCACACAGCTCCTGAGGGGGACAGCTCGCTTGCAATCCACCCCAGGAGGTAATGCTAACACCGATGGCCAGGAATGCGTCACTGACCAGGAACCAGTACGAGTGGCGCCACCGAGGTCGCACACGCACTCCTGGGAGAAAAGATCCGGGGCAATCCCCTCTCCGAGAACAAGAGGAAGAGCCGGCCAGGGAAACGATGTAAGGGGTCGACACCGAAAACCTGAACGGATCGGCCACGCGCCTGATGCTGCCAACCAGGAATGCGATGGATAAGGTCGACATCGAACGCCTGTTCGGAATGGCAGCGCGCGTAGAACTGCCAGGTGAACTGCCGATAACAAGGCTAAGCACCTCACCCAGGACAGCTGCATAAGCGTGGCAAGCGCCAAAAGCGAACTGGGAACGCCCAGCTGGCGAGGGGGGCCCCGAAGGGAGTAAGGGCCAGAACGTAGCGTGGCAGTGCCGTCTTTGCGCGGGGGGCGGAGCAGCTCGGCGCGGGGCAACTGCCGAAAGGCGCGGGGAGCGGAAGTCGCCGAAGCGCGGTGAAAACAGCTACTGCGAGGCCAGGGGCCAACTAGAACATGTGGGCCACGGCCCCGGCGGCAGTCCACGTGTCGGCATTGTCAGCAGGCAGCTGCCAGGGTCCCAAGGGCGGGGGGCAGCGGGCGCTGAAGGAGAGAAGAGGAGAGCAGGAAAGCGGCAGAAGGCCTCGCGTCCAATGGGGACGCAGGAGGAGAAGAGTGAGGCAGAAGGCGCTACCAGGAAGTGGCTGAAGGCCACTGGTTTGCCGAAGAACAGATGGGTCACCGCCATGTGCGGGAACGCTTGTCGCCTCTCCCGTCGCCGTTGTGGTCGCCGCCCCGCTTGCCTCCTGTCTGCCAGTCGTTGGCGTCCCAAGAGTGTGTCCAGGACCAGCTGTCCCAGTCCCAGGATTGCCGTGAGCTGGACGCGCGGCCATTTGGCTGGTGGCCGCCTTTGCCCTGACGCCCCATCCATTTTGCACGCCCCTCGACCCAGTCAAAGAAATGGTCTGCGCCGAGTAAGTGGTCGACGTCATCGCATGCTTTCTGGTACAGCTCGCAGTGCCACCTCCACCTTCCGCCGAAGTACGCCCGCCGCATCCAGGGCAGTATCTCGCCAGGAAGACGCGCGCTCCGCCCCTATGCGGGGGCCCGTCCTCCGAGCAGGGGAGGCATGTCGCCTGCCTTCTGAGTGGCCCAATGTTGTTCGGCATGCCAGGAAAACCAAGAAGCAGCTGAAGGCTGTACCTTCTGCAAAGAAGCCACTGCGACTGTCGGTGTGCGTCGGGGGACAGCAGACTGAGGCACTCCCTCCCGTACGACATTGAGGAGCCGCATGAGCGCTCGCTTGCCGGCCTCCAGGAGGGGGAGGGGACGACGAGCTGCGGCATACGACCACGTGCTCCTCTCCCTGAAGACTGCACTTCCGTGAGGGGCGTCTCCAAGCGCGGGCGCGCCCCCTGCAGCGCTCCCGACTGTCGCCGGGGACCTGCGTCCAGGAGGGGGGGGGGCGCAGTCGAACGCCTTTCAGGCGCCCACCGCACTGCTGCCCCAAGGACGCTGAAAGGGGTAAGGGGCCGATGGGGCCTGTCCTGTCGCGCTGCCAGACCTGTCCGCAGAATTTCGTGCCCGCCAAGATTGCCAGGAAACGACGAGACACAACGTGTCTACCAGGGGTGCCAGGGTAACGACAAACGGTCGCACTGTTGGTGTGCATCGAAGAGCACCGAGCTGGGGCACCCCCTCCTGAGCGACAAATAGTCGCACATCCAGGGAGAGAGGGAGGAGCCTACGATGGTGTCAGAGTGGCGGCAGAGGGCCGCGATCACTAGAGAATCGGAAGTCCCGCCGCCCGCCGGCGGCGCGGTGGCGCCCGCGGCGCACGCTGAGCCTGCGGCGCCCGCGGCGCCCGCGGCGCCCGCAGCGCCCACGGCGCCCGCGGCGCTGGCGGCGGAGGCGGCGCTGGCGGCGCCAGCAGCGCGGCGCCCGCGACGCGCGCGGCACCCGCAGCGCCCGCGGCGCCCACGGCGCCCGCGGCGCCCGTGGCGCGCGCGACGCCCGTGGCGCGCGCGACGCGCGCGGCGCCCGAGGCACCCGCGATGCCCGCGGCGCAGTCGGCGCCCGCGGCGCCCGCGGGGCCTGCGGCGCCCGCCGCACCCGCGGCGCCGGCGGTGCCCGCGGCGCACGTGGCGCCCACGGCACGTGCGGCGCCCGCGGCGCCAGCGGCGCCCGCGGCGCCCACGGCGCCCGTGGCACCAGCAGCACTTGCGGCGCCGGCGGCGGAGGCGGCCGCTCACGCCGCAGCCGCCGCCGCGACACGGGCTTCCATCCCACGGGCCGGGGCGCGCACCTGAGACAGGGGCGGGCTCGAGCCCAGACGCCTTGAGCCAGCTACTACAGAAGCTGGTGGGGTTACTTCTTTCCGGTCGCGGCCGCGAGACGACGGTCAGGCGGCAAGAGCAAAGTCCGGGACGCGAACTGGGCGAAGCTGGTGGGGTTACGCGAAGCGTCTAGAATTGAGTACCCCCCTTTTCTTTTTGAACCATGACGCTTGAGATGGCCCCCTAAGAGGCCTCCCAGACTCCCCCAGAGAGCCCCACGAAAGCCCAAAGACCCCCAAAAGAGCCTCAACAAAGCCCAAGAAAGGCCGAAAAATGCCCCCCAGAGGCCCCACCAGGACCCCAAGAGACCTTCCAATATGGCCTTCAGAGTCCTCCAAAAACCTCTTGCAACAACATATCTCTCAAACAAGACTTCTCCTCCTCCTCGACATCGTCCGTTCTTTCCTTCCTCCTCTCCTGCCTCATCCCTCCCCCTCCTCCCCCTCCTCCTCACGTTCCTCATGCCGCATTCCTCCTCGTCTCCTTCTCCTCCTCCTCGTCTCCTCCTCCTCCTCCTCTTCCTGCCCCTGCTTCTCATTGTCTCTGTTCCATCTTCCTCGTCTTATTCCTCCTCGTCCTCGTCCTCCTCCTCCTCCTCATCCTCCTTCTCGTCGTCGTCGTCGTCGTCGCCGTCGCCGTCGCTGGCGGCCCTGTCTCTCGAGCTGGGTTGTATCCTTCCTTCCTCTGCTATTTTTCTCCTCCCTTCCCTCCCTCTTCCCTTCCACCCTGCCTTGCTACACTCCCTCCTTCGAATCATGTGTACGAGACTCCGGCATTTCCACTTCAAACACCGACCCCGTCCCCCATCGAAGCATCCGCCAGACCGTCTACGGGGACACCAGGCTCCGTAGGCGAAGCACCTACCCTCCGCCAACTACTCTCACCCGCTCTCCAAACCCCCAGTCCGAGTCCAAGTGCCGATGCAGTTCCTCTAACGAAGCTCGTCTGATGCTGCATATCATGGTTCGTTGTGAGCGCTCTCGTTCAGGGTCGGCGGCAACGGCCGCAAGGTCTTCTCAACATCACCACGAGTGATACGTGTACCACAACTGCATGAAGGGATGGCGACTCCTCTGAAGAACTGGACACTCGCCCGAGCCTTCCTCAGACCTACGCGGTCAGAGGCCCGAGCACATGTGGCAGCTGCACGGCGGGAGGGCAGACCCTCTTCGAGATGGGGCGCCCGCGTGATGCTTGCTCACGCTGAGCGGCCGGGTGTGTAAAACATGCGCGTTCGGTCCCACGGATCGGGACCAGCTTCAAGATGGAGCTCTTGCTGAACACCTCGTTGAACTTCAGGATCCCGCCTTGTCGCATGCCATGCGGCTCGCCGGGAGGATACAGGGCACGTCCTTTTCCAAAACGGGGCTCTCGCACGAATAACCGCCCCGCAAGGTTCTCGTCTTTCAAATGGGGCGAATCTTGTAGGAAGACGGGCGGCATGCAAGAATGTCGGAGGATTGAGCTCGGGACGGGAGGGTGTGTTGTAGCATCTTTGCTACATCTTAGCTTACGTTGGTCCTCCTCTTCCTCCTCCTCCTCCTCCTCCTCCTCCTCCTCCCCCTCCTGCACAGGCCTCTGACGACTCAACTTCTTCGAGTAGCTGGTATCTGGAGCTCTCGATTACTGCCGCCGAAAATCAAGCAGATCCAGCTTGAGTTGCCAGAGGGCAGGGCCTCCCTGCAGGATGAGGAGGAGGAGGGAGGAGGAATGAGGAGGGAGGATGAAGGAGGAGGAAGGAGGAGGAAGGAGGAGGAGGAGGAGAAGGAGGAGGAGGAGGAGGAAGGAGGAGGAAGGAGGAGAAAGAAAGGTGGATGAGGAAGGAGGAGGAAGGAGGAGGAAGGAGGATGAAGAAGGAGGAGGAGGATGAGGAGGGAGGAGGAAGGAGGAGAAAGAAAGGTGGAGGAAGGAGGAAGGATCAGGAGATGGGAAGAGGTCTCAGACCTGTGGCAACCATACGAACTCGTGCTGGAGGATTTTCGTAATGTTCGGCGTCCAAAGGATGTTCCTGGCCCCAGGAACGACGAACCGCCACCCAAGATGAAGAACCTGCCTCCTGGTTGGGTCAATAGCTGAGGGGGGGGCAAGCGGCTCGGAAAATCGAGTCGTCGCGGGTCGGGCGGTGCGTGGGGAGAGTTCGGGGGGGGGCGACGGGGATCGCGATCCCCTTGGGATAGCTACGGTGGCAATCCATTGCGGCAAGCGTGATACATCACCCACGCAATAGGACGGGGCAGCCAAGGTTACGCTCACATCCGCCGAACAATGGTCCGCACGTTTGCTTCTCTACACAATACACCCGTGACAGCGCGCGCCAAACAAGCTACGATCCCGCTGGCGAATCAATCATCGTGGCGACTTGCCCAGCTGTTGCCCGCGAGATCGCAATAGCAAAGGACACCCATCGTCTCCCGAAGAGATGCCGACAGGATGGAGGATGATGGATGAGGAGGGTGAGAAGACGACCCTGATCGTGAACAAGTCGTCGATGCCAGCCTGGTTGTCGACCACCGGGCACAAACTCACGTGATCCTACGCTGCGCTCGCTGAGTGGGAATCCATCTGCGGCGAGCCCAGCGTTTGTGTATGCAGAGATCTGCGTGGTTTTTCAGGAGGCGTATGGGTAGGATGGGATGATGAGGACGACGAAGAGAAACATGGTGATGGGCACACTTCAAGCGACACGGGGGATCGCCTTGGGAAGGAGAAGAGAAAAAACCCTGAAGTAGCATGAGGAAGCCCAATGGGTCCCGTCTTCCTCCTCCTCCTCCTCCTTCTCCTCCTCCTCCTCAGCCCCATCGGTCCGGTAGGCGGAAACAATTAGGAAGCACTCCCCTCTCTGTTCCCCTTCCCGCTGCAGCTGTTGCTGCTGCTCCTCATCCACCTCATCCTCCTCCTCCTCCTCCTCCTCCTGTTCGTCCTTTTCCTCCTTTCCTCCTCCTCTTTCTCCTCCTCCTCCTCCTCCTCCTCCTCCTCCTCCTCCTCCTCCTCCTCCTCCCTCTTCCCCCCACACCCTCTGCCTTACCTCTCCTCCCATTTCCTCCCTCCCCCCTGGGGTGGGGGGGGGAACAACAAACATGCCCGTACCGTATGCTGCTGCTCCACGGGCCTCTCCCGGGGCGCGCTCTGACCGGGATCTCGAGGCGAGTCCCGTCGTGGCGACGCGTGAAGAGCAGCGGTGTCGGTACCTCTTCCTCCTCTGATGCGATGCTACAGTCATCGGCCTGACCTACGGAACGGTAAATAAGGAACGAAGCCTCTTTTTTGTCCCGAGGAATAACGCGTAAGGAGCGATCAATAAAACATAGCGCATAAGGAACTGTAACTAACGCATGTAAGCCTAAGGACCGACCGAGCCCCTTTTGAAAAGCAAGTGTTCCTTATTCAAGCCGCTCACTGTACGCCTGCTGATGGAGGAAGTGCGCACGTGCAACGGGCGCGCGCCGGCAGATCTCGGGGGGGGGGAGGGGAGGAGGGCGAAGGAGGGAGGAGAGAAAGGGGGGAGGGAGGAGGAGGGAGGTGGAGGGAAGGGTCGCGGTGTCGATATCTTCTCCTCCTCTGAGCCCCTACCTCTCTGTCTCTGCCTCCGTGGAGGCCTCCCAAATTCGGTCCGAGCAGGTGGAGTCGGAAGAGCGCGCCGCATCGGCGATGCATCGGCGACGCATCGGCGACGTCGGCGATACATCAGCGCCGTCGGCGCGGAAAAAAGACGGGCTCCACATCGAGCCGCATCGACGATGCATCGGCGATGAGGTTGGATCCTCCGACCCCGTTTGCTCGGACCCAAGTTGGCAGGCAGACTCCACGGCCCAAGCGCTGCTTTTTTGAATCGGCGCTGGACCCCCCTCCCTGGCGCGCGGAGGTGCCGCTTCCAGCGCCGATCCAAAAAATCCGCGCGGACCTCCGAAAGTTCACACGTACGTCCGTTTTGTTCCCCGAAGCTTGTGGGGGGAGGAGGAGGAGGAGGAGGAGGAGGAGGAGGAGGAGGAGGAGGAGGAGGAG